ATATATATATTATTAATAAATATTTTATATTGTATTAGAATAATATTTTATTTTCAATTATAAGATTAAAACCGAGCGCGCATCATATGTGATACACCATGCAGCACTGGTCTTCTGGTTAGATATAGAATAGATAGAGTGAGATGATAGATAGAGTGAGATAACACATAAAGTCGAAGGCCCTGTATTATCGAAGAAACGAGATGGACATTTTCTCTGGTTGACGACATTGACAATGACGACGTATCTTAAAAATATAAAACGTGAAAATTCACAGATCCGGACTTTGCGTCGCGATATCTCCGCTCATAGAGCACGTAGAAAAAAAATGAAAGCACTTTTATGATACAATTTAAGTATTTCCTGTCGATTGAGCGTATGTAGAACTTGATCGGTTCAGCCGTTACTGAGATCTGATCATCTCGACCCCGAAAAATTCTCACTTTCGCATAAAGGAGGCACGGCAGTGTGCTTGTCGCGCGCTTGGCTTAGCGCCGAGACACTACCGTGTCTCCAGATGAAAGCACTTTTATGATACAATTTAAGTATTTGCTATCGATTGATCGTATGTTGAACTTGATCGGTTCAGCCGTTATTGAGATCTAATCATCTCAATCCCCCGAAATCGTCTGTTTCGCATAAAGGAGGCACGGCAGGTCGCGCGCTTGGCTTAGCGCAGAGACACTACCGTGTCTCTAGATTCCCAACTTATTTAATGCTACTGATTCGAGATCCCTCATGACCAAATCCGCAATGATTGGTGAAAGAGGTGAACCCATAGGAGTACCGAAATTTTGTTTATAAAAAGTACCAGCAAAACAAAAAGAACGTGTTGTTGACACTTTGATCAATAATGATTATCCATTAAATTTAATTTTTAATACAATTAACACAATATTAAATTATTTAATCAAAAATAGTAATAATGAAAGGAAAAAGAATAATACTGACGATGAGACTTAATCTTGGTTTTTGTTTCATTACGTACCGGATGTTTCGGAAGAATTTAAGAAACGTATTAAAAATCATAATGTAAAAATAGCATACAAAAGTTTTAATAAATTGGATAAATTTATCAAGGTGCAAAAAGATGTTCTACCATTACTACAAAAAAAGCATGTGGTCTACAAGGTACCTTGTCGTGATTGTAATGCTACATATATGGAACAAACAAAACGGAAACTCAAAACAAGAATTGCAGAACATCGTAACCACATAAATAGAAATACAGAGGTACAATCAGTGATTACTGACCATAGGAATAAATTCGGACATGATTTTGACTGGGATAAAGTAAAGATTTTGGATTCAGAGAGATTCTTAGGTAGACGTTTGATTTCCGAATGCGTTCACATTTACATGCAGGATAGTTTAAATAAAATAACAGACACAGAAGACTTGAATTTCAATTATTTAACAATTTTAAATGAAATAAAACATAGCAAAAATCGAATTTACTATTATGTACATCAATTTTAACAACGATTATATGTTTAATTATTTATTTGGACGCATGTTATTGTTTTATTATGTTATGTTTTTATCTCTTGACTTACAATTGTACATTTATTGAAAGATATTTTGGCTTGAGAAGGTTATATTCCAGTCTATATTAGACAAGATACTGACAACATGTATTATATTGCACTTAGAAAAATTGTTTTAATTTTTGACGAGATTGTTGCGTAATATAAATTATAACAGCGCAGGATGATGACGATCCATGATATTGAAATTTTAATTTTATTTGTTTTTTCCTAGTTGGATATCATTAGGTGAGTCACTCGATTTTTTATTATAAATAAAAACATATTAAATTATTGGTAATTGTATTCCACAGACATAAGAACATCAAATCAACCAATTCGATGTGACTTACTCGGTATTCAATTGGCTTATATTATGTAGCTGAAGATGACTCAAAAAAGAGTCGAAACGTACTCATTGTAATTCTGAATAAAGGATTTAATATATCCAAGTATATTAATTGACGTACCAACAGCAACGTGGCACTCTCATTCGCCTCCTAATATAGGAAAATTTACTGAATTCGTTTGGAATTTGGGAGTCAAGAAGAAGATATCGGTTTTTTGGAATTTGTTTTTTCTTATTAACGCATATTAATTTAATACTTGTTTTGGCGCGTTGGAGGATCACTTTCGTTCACTGCGAGTTTCGTTCAACAGCCAAACCATCGGCGCTCGAACGCGTTGCGACATATCTTCCTAGAAAGAATATCGTTCAGCACATATTAATTTAATACTTGTTTTCGCAAACGAGTATCAAATTACGTCGATGATGTAGACAGAAAGGATTAGAAGCATTTTTGGGTGAGGGGGGTGAGGGTGGTGAGGTGGTGGGGGTAGGGATGGCGGTGGACCGTAAAAATATTTACGCCAGTATTTATTTTTCACGCTGGAGCATTGACTGATGCTGTCATTGCCTTGAAAGAAAGGGCGGCGGCACGATAAAGCGGTGGTAGCGCGGTAAGACGGTGTTGGCGGTGGCTTTGAAAATGTTTAGGTAAACATTTACCGTAAACATTTCGGCAATACCTAGTGCGCTATTCCTCGCCCGCGCATACCCCGCGTCTACGTTACCGCATCCCCTCCATAGCCTCACATACACACACACACACATGTATCGCATATACGTACACGCACAACGCACTAACACATCTGTATCCAGGACCGGCCTAGTATACTACTTAATTCATATATCAAAAATGAAATTTCTTGTTTTATTCCGTCACATCGTTTGTATCTAAAACATTGCAATTTGCGCAATCTGTCATTTCCCTCATTAATCATTCTTTTATTTTTACAGGAGCACCCTACGTGTGCGCTAGACATTACACCCACCTATGCGGTAGTGTCCTCTTGCATATCTTTCTACGTGCCCTGCATTGTGATGCTGGGTATTTATTGCAGGTAAAATCGCCCACTGGCACCCACCGCAGACGTAAATTAATTTAACTTTTTAGTTCGTATGCGTACTTTTACTCTTATTATAATCAATCACCCTAATTTCTATGAGTGACGTAGCTCGTATAGCGATCCATAAAACATGACTATCCCCGGTAATTCGCAATTTCGAATAAGTTTGAAAATAAAAATGATGTGCTCGAAAAAAGCTCACTTCTTCGTTTAAAAATCCATAAGAGATAAATCACACGCTCAACAATACCAAATGTACCATCAATTCGTTTACCGGAACAATATGCATCAGATGCTGAATGATAAATTTCCAATAGACGTTCAGTCATCTCTTTACCCATTTGGTTTCGTTTCTTTAATTTTAATACACAAAGATGTAATTGTATGGTTTTATTTCGTCAAAACTGGATGTACTCTTTACACGGAATAAACAGCTTATTGAAGTGATTATATAAAAAGGGTCTATAAAAAGGATAAGATGGTCCAATCTGCCCCAGCAGGGATTCAAATGAATGAAAGTTTATCCTATTCTATGTCGAAAAATAATAATTATCAGAAATTTTCAACTCCCTGTTGTACCTCTCGGTGCAACAAGATATTATTTTGGGATTCGATCCGCTCAAAGGGTTGGAACTCACGAGGAAAACGAGGAAAGTGGTCAAGGTCGTAGAACAAACACTCACTGCACCACACTTTTATTAAAATAACCCCTTTTATTTATTATAACACTTACAATTTCGAGTGGTTATTACCACTGATTACATTTAACCCTTTATTTAATTATTATAATTACCCGATTGAATGATTACACTTTGGTTGTTAATTGCTTATGTTACAATTCGAATAGTTGGTTACAATTGTCGAATTGATTTAATTAAAGAATATATTCGGGTTAAAGTCCTCGCTCGTGACTTAGACCGGTCGGCGACACTCGTTATCATTGTGGTTAAGAAAAATTAAAAATAAAAACTGAAAATACACGTGTTTTTCTATAACAGGCTTAATTGTGGGGTTAGGTAGTTGAACATTTACAAAAATTATTGAATTTTTAGAAAAAAAATATTTTCAAAGTCATTTGGGTGACTTTTCATCTCAATACAGCTATATAAAACCTTAAAATAAAAAAAAATAATAGTTTGATCCGGTTTTTTGGTAATATCTCGACTTCTACATAAGATACGACAACGACATATCAGACAATTTTGAAGATCATTTCAAGTCCTACAAATTGTCTCTAGAACACTTTGACCGAAAATGAATATTTCTCAGGTTAGAGCCGATAAAATGAGAAAAAAATGCTTATTTTTGCGGTTTTTCGCCTCTAACTAGTTTCGCTCAACAGCTAGCGAAATTTTGTGTATGAGAAAGTTGTAGAGCTTGAAAAGACCTACAATGCAACTCCCTAAATTGTTTCGTTTTGATAAAACAGTGCTCGGAATTAGTTGCACATTTCGGGCCGATTTCTGAGGCGACGCCTACTGTCTCCCTACTACCACTCGAGCCTCGGCGGCCGAGCCACCGACCGCTCACGTGACGCTGTGCCTCAGGAACGTCGCGATACTTTCCAGTATGCTGGGAGTACACCTTCCGACAAATATCATTAAAATATTTTTTTTCTACGTGATTTTTATTTGAACAAATATTTTTATTATTAGCATATTATGTATATATTCTATAATGATATAATTTTGACAATTATTACAGTATGATAAATACAATATTGAACAACAGTTTTCCACATCACCTCTGAGGTATTATTGTTGACGCGTTTTTTTAAAGTGGTTTCCCCAGTAGGCCTATTCCACTAAAAAAAAATAACGAAAAAGCTGATTAAGTATATAGCTCAAGGAAAGCAATATTCTTTAATGTTAAATATTTATTAAAAAAACGAACGAGGATGAAACGGGAATAATTAATTTTCTTGAAATTTTAAATTTGACCTTCTGAGTCGTTTGCACGATTGTACTAGTAATAATACATCCACAAAGATTTTAGACGTAGTAGTTCGCATCATCGAGGATCATAACGATGCATCTTTTAAACATGAACGTTTTTCCGTTTTGAAAATGATGCATCGTTATCCTCGATGATGCAAAATACTACTTCTGAAATCTCTGTGGTTGTATCATCACTAGTACAATCGTGCAAACGACCCAGAAGGTCAAATTTAAAATTTCAAGTAAATTAATTATTTCAGTTTCATCCTCGTTCGTTTTTTAATAAATATTTAACATTAAAGAATATTGCTTTCCTCGAGCTATATACTTAATCAGCTTTTTCGTTATTTTTTTTTAGTGGAATAGGCCTACTGGGGAAACCACTTTAAAAAAACGCGTCAACAATAATACCTCAGAGGTGATGTGGAAAACTGTTGTTCAATATTGTAATTATCATACTGTAATAATTGTCAAAATTATATCATTATAGAATATATACATAATATGCTAATAATAAAAAAATTTGTTTAAATAAAAATCACGTAGAAAAAAAATATTTTAACGATATTTGTTGGAAGATGTACTCCCAGCATACTGGAAAGTATCGCGACGCTCCTGAGACACAGCGTCACGTGAGCGGTCGGCGTCTCGGCCGCCGAGGCTCGAGTAGTAGTGGGGAGACAGTAGGCGTCGCCTCAGAAATCGGCCCGAAATGTGCAACTAATTCCGAGCACTTTGATAAAAATTGAGCGAAAAATTGAGAATAAATGCAGTTTTTATTTTTTTTTACTATGCCGCACCACTTTTAAAAATCTGAAAAAAATTGACGATATAGTTCGGCCTAAAATACATCTTGGATTTTTTCAAGAGGGCATTATTTTTTAAACGCAAGAAAACATTTTTTGAATTCTTTATGAATTTTTTAAAAAGTTTCTACAAGGTCAAATTACTTGAAAAAATTTTCATAGTTAAACTCTAATATTTTTTACACGCATGAATTTTTTTGTAAAGATTGTTATCATGGTTACGGAATAAAAAAATAAAAACTGAAAATACACGTTTTTTTGCTATAGCGAGCTTAATTTTGGGAATAGGGAGTTGAAAATTTCTGATAATTATTATTTTTCGACATAGAAAAGGATAAAAAACAAATTTGTAAATTCAATAAGCATAAAAACCACGCACAAGATCTATTTTGTGAGGACTTATTAAAGTCCGTATTTTATTGTTAAAATATAAGTTTAAACGTTTCGGTCATAAAAATTTGACCATCTTCAGTATATAGTTAGGTTAATATAACATTAAATCAAACGCATATTATAATACAATATTCGCTTACATCTAGAATCCGTAAAAATGTCGGGATTGAATGGCCAAATTCCAGTTGCAGCAAATCCAGATTTAATGTTTTTGGGAGTTAATGCCAAATCGAGCGAGTCACATACCAACTTTGGAATATGACGGATTTCCAAAATTCTATTGGCATTATTCTTTTGCCAGGCCTTACACTGTGATGCATAGTAACTTTTTAATGGACCAAACACCGAAATATCTAGCGGCTGCATTCGGTGGCTGCAATGTGGTGGAAAAGACAGCATGTGCACACCATTTGCAACTGCTAGGTCAATGGCTTCAATCGAAAGATGAGACGCGTGATTGTCCAAAAAAAGAATGACGGGCAATTCAACTGATGATTTAGAATGATTTATAAAATGCTGCATAAATAAAACGAATTCAGCTTGCTGCATCCATCCAGATTCGTTTGCAAAGCCAACGGAGCCTGGCGACGAATTTTCCATAAATGTCGCTTGCATTCTTTTTCGTGGGAACAGAAAAAATGGTGGTATCGAGTTCCCAGCTGCGTTCACAGCCAACGCCATGGTAATCATACTCCCACGCTCTGCCGCGGCTGCTTGACCAACTCTACGCACCCCCTTCAGTGAAATTACTAATCCAGCCTTCGTTGGCACTGTGGAAAACCCGGTCTCATCCATGTTGTAGATGGACATTCCATTAAATGAAGTTTTGTTGAGAATCTCCAAAAAATTTCCAAAAAAATGTTCGACGTTTTCCTTGCTAAATGCTTTTATTCTGTTAAAAGAAGTCATTTGCGGCGTTCGAAGTGTCAACTGAGGGTGTCGGGCCATGAATCCGTAATACCATTTTTTTCCCGCAATCCTCTTTTTTTGCCATTGATCTGGACATTTGCACAATTTTGTGGCTAATTGATATGCTAAAAGCTTCAAGTCCACGATGCTTATACCATAATAATGCTTAGCGCAATTCAAAATATATTGAGCGAGTTCGTTTTCCTCTTCTGTTGAAAATACCTGTAAATAAATAAGCGAAAATAAATAATAAAGATTTAAATTAAGTCAATGAAAATAAAACGCTCACTATATTAGGTTGGCGCTTGTTGCTTTCACGAAGACAGCTCATCAATTTATCATCTGAAACGCTTGACACATCTTCGAATTTATCTTTCAACTTTTTGCAATGGCGTTTTAATAAACAAAAGTCCAGGTCGAAATCTCTTCCAGTCGATCGATAACCTTTATTTTCAATTAAAATCTGTTTTACAGCGCGTAAAAGCGCATCGAAGTTGATTTCCTTTGACTTAGAGGCTTTCTTTGGGGTAGACATTGTCTACGAATTAAAAAAAATAAATTAGAATATATGAAAATATTAATAACGATGACGTTTCACTATAAAAATCTAATATAGACACTTGATATGAGAAAAGTCAAGTGGGTCGTATATGGTGCTTGACACTGGGTCGCAAATGGAACTAATGATATTTTCCAAAAGTCATAAAAAAATTTGGTTTCGTACATATATTCGTCCACATCACTATTGAATATAAAAATGCATTGAAAATACTTAATATATATGCACTTCACTCACCGTTATCACTTGTTTCGACAGAATTACAGCACTAACAAAATACTTCAGAAAAGTTTCCCAAATTCTAATTTGTATACAATGCCGATAATTCCTATACTAGTACTTCCAATCACTTCCAGTGACTGTAAACAATTGCCGCATTCAAAAACAATAACAGTACGTCGAACCACAACACGATTATAGCACCAATACATACAAATACCGAGGTGGGTCGTATATGGTGCTGGGTCGCATATGGTGCCTCTCCCCTAATACGGCGAACAGATGTAAGCGAATATTGTATTATAATATGCGTTTGATTTAATGTTATATTAACCTAACTATATACTGAAGATGGTCAAATTTTTATGACCGAAACGTTTAAACTTATATTTTAACAATAAAATACGGACTTTAATAAGTCCTCACAAAATAGATCTTGTGCGTGGTTTTTATGCTTATTGAATTTACAAATTTGTTTTTTATTTAAACCACATTTTATAAAAGCGTTATAGAAAAGGATAAACTTTCATTCATTTGAATCCCTGCTGGGGCAGATTGGACCATCTTATCCTGCTAGACCCTTTGGTAAATGTCTTGGTCAGGGGACCCCCTCCAATAATTTTTATCTTGTCATATGTTGTCAAGGTCATGATCCTGAGTAACCCTTAACAGGTTTTAGCCGTCGCTCATCTTTCGTTAAAAAGTTATTAACAATCATAGATTTAAAATAAACGTATTATTTCTGCTATACATGATATTTAGTACTATTCTACATTCTTTCCCTGTTTAGAAACGTTAAACTTTCCTCCTCTTCTTCTTCTTCTTAAATTAATGGTTCCTGCCGCCAGAATATGTAAAAGGAGGTCGATACGGCCAGATCACGTTTCAAAAGTAAATCGTACAAAATAGTGGAAACGAACGGGTGATACAATGCCCGCAAAAATGGCGTTGCTCGACCGGTCTCCGGGCGCCTGCGTCTACGGCGTCGTCATGTCGCAATAACGCGCGTCATGGGAGCCCTAGTCGTCAAAAGGTGCAAAATGACGAACAATCGAGCTCATCCGCGGACACGCATCTGTGTGGTACAATGCACAGTCAAAGTCGGCAACACTTTCAAAAATATACAAAGGAAAGCACCCGACCGAAACGCGTCCGTAACGGTCGGGTGGTTCGTCGGAACTGGTTAAACTTTCCACATGAAGTAACTTTCACCCCCTTCCCCCCATGCCAAGGAGCACACTACTTCCATGATTGTACTGTTACTTTCATTGTACTGTTGGGGGGACCTCTATCGATGGGGCGGGTGCAGGAGGGGAGACCGTAGGTCGGCCTCCTGGCACCCTCCCCTCCGTACGCGCGGGTATGTGTGTAACATCAAATAACGTCTTCTTTTGTGGTATAGATGTATACAATGATAAGTACTATTCTGCACACATATTTTGACTTTCCACGCGAAGCGTGTACCCTCCCTCCCCCACTTATCGGCCGTACAGTTTATAAAGGTACACTTTCAAAGAACGTGTAAATACTTGCAAAACAGTGATTCTATTCTGTCTTCTCAGTCAGTATATATTGTATATTCGCTAGGTATATAATCAGTACACTTGTTTTCTTCTCTTCTAGAATTCTGCTATTATAAAATATGAATTTATATGAATTCTTTACTATTATTGACAATATAGATTCTCTATAGAATTATTTATGTGAAAAGAAAGTAGTTCGTAGCAAAATGAAATGTCCAAAGTGTCATAAAATGTTAGAATTTCACGCACATTCACGCACACATCACACATACGCACGCACATACGCGGGGGGGGGGGGGGGGGG